CGTATATTTGCGTTGTGCGTACGCACGCTAAACAAATCGATCGTAGGACCTACCGAGGTTAAGCAATACTTTGTGACTACGACATCTGTTGGCCCACATGCTTTTAAAACCTGACCTCTTTAATTCTTAAGGCTCTTGGCAGAGGTGCACAAAATGTAGCTAGGTACATAAAAAATGTAACACACGGTCTTCTGTCTAGTCTAGTGAAACATGATTGTTATAATGGGAAGTTTCTAGAAAAACTAGACCTCATGCTATAAATAAAAAACAATCAAAGACTACTCAACTAACGTAGAATTATTAAATAAAAAACATCATTCATTTTTTAAACTGTTTCCAAAAGTAATCGATCATTCATTTTTTAAACTGTTTCCAAAAGTGATCGATTTGGTATTATTGTTCTTCACTACATATCATAGAACAAAGTCGAGCTATCCGTTGTCTGTCTGTTCCTATATATGCTTAGATCTTTAAAACTACGCAACGGATTTTGATGCGGTTTTCTTTAATAGATAGAGTGATTCCTAAGGAAGGTTTATATGTACAATACATACATATTGCACAGCGGGTCGCTAGTAATTGATAAATTATTATGTATTTGTTTATGCAAATGCTTTTGTGGCGTATCTTCTATACATATCATATAAAGAAAAGTCAAAACTGTACATTGAATATTTAAAAAAAAGAATACTTGTAGCGTGATCTACAATCGATACCGAACTCAAAATTATGGTTTTTAGAATTTTTGTCTGTTTATCTGTTGTCTATGTGTATGTCCGTGATAAACTCAAAAAGTTCTGCGTGCATTTACTTTCAATTTTGCAGGAATATCACTAACAAGTTGAGTCAACGACGTAGCCGCGGGTAACAGCTAATTCATACATAAAATCTTTAAGTTATGAATTAGTACCTATAATAATCTTAATTACATTTTATTATTAACTTCTACTGATCGTAAAATAATCATCGTCATCAACAGCCTATAAGTGCTCCTGAGCAAAGCCTCTTCTCACGCGAAGAAGATTTAAGCATTAAAAAGGTTTGAGCGTAAAATAATATTCTCATGTAATGACACTAAAAATCTGTGCCGGCTAAGTTCCCCTATACATTATACTCTTTGAGGTAGAGGTGATATGTAGGTTTCTATGTTTGACATAACGTCCCGTCGATTACCTATTGAGTAGACTTTATAACCATAGAAAATTTTGCTTGTGAGGGCGTCAGCTATGTATAATTTTTGTACTGATATTCTTACAGGATTGTTATTGGAACCTATGCGAGAGAAACCTTTTTAATAATTCACAAAAGTCTCAGGTGAATACTAAAAATCTAATAAAATATTCGTTATTTATGTTTGTAGTTTTACTACTTACTAACAGTTTTTTATTGGTCTATATTGTATTTACTAAAAATTCAAACACATTAACAATTATACCTACACATACAAAATTAATTAACAAAACGAATAATGTTGTTAATAGATTTACAACTTGATATTCGATTTTAGTCGTCACGAATTTTCTTACAACGCCTGCCACGTAAAATTGCAAGATACATAATAAAATATATTTTAATTAAATATTACAAAATATACAAACCTGCTACGGTCAAAACGAATGCATACCTTGACTTTAAAAGTTTAGAAATATGAACCTATTATGAGTTAGCTTATCCAACCTTGCTGGAACTTTCGTAATCAGTATTATATTAATTTAACGAAATAATAATTTCAAAGTATCATCGTAAAAGATGTCATCCATCACAATGAGGCTATGTTAAAATCATTAATGTATATTTTTCTACTCGTTTCGTTTTTGCGGAGTGAAAGTTTTACGCATTCCGTTCGTTAACGGAACTTAGGCTCTCGCAGATGTTAATAAAAACAGCGTTTTTTAATTCATAGCGCATTTAGATAAGCTTAGTCATAGTAAATTAGGTCAACTAATTTCAATATTAGACAAATCAAGAATAAGGCATACAAATAATAAATCCCACACTAAAGAACCGGTCCAAAAGTAAAACGAAAATAAAAGCTAACCGAATTAAAAAGGAGGTCAAGAACAAGAGGTCACCATGGCTCATTAGCTGCGAAACTTTTTAGTGAATAGATCATCTTTGATATACTTACACCCCAACAACGCCTGGCAGTTCTCCGAAGAAATCCTTCCTGACTTCAGACTTATATTTGACGAGGCAAGGCATCGCAGGACGGAACGGCGTTGGCCCTTCCCGTCGGTACATCCGCTCTATTTCATCCGCATCATACACAAACAGCAGATCCGGTCTTCCAATCAACCCTCCTAAGCGCACAATCCTCCCGTAAGTGTCCAAAAAATGTTGGGTCACTTTCGCGAATTCCGAAATGTCGAACTGCCCGATGATAGGCACCATCCGCCACGTATTCCCCAGTATCGGGATTGGTCTTGGTCCAGGAACTTCGGAGTAAGGTTTGGCATTAGAGAAAATTTCTTCACTTAATTCCGCGGTGGGGGCAATTTGGGAACGTTGCCGTTTTGAGAACGGGCACCCGCTGGTTGCATATCGAGCATTTTTCACTACGAACGGCTGTGAGTAGGCCGCAAACGTGCGGAGAGAACGACCCATGGCGGTTAAGGCCGCGACGACGACTGCGCTCACGCCGCTATCGAGATCCTAGGGTGTACCGTTGCGCGGGAGTCGACGTTGCTTCTGACATTGCAGTCATGGACGGCAATTACTAGCCGTTCTCTTTCTGCAAGTGATTGTTTGAAGATAAAATATAATTATGGTTTAAGTGTGTACTTAATCGTTAGTTATCTATAAGTAAAAAAAAACATTAAATTATCGTATTCTTAAATTAATGTGCACTCTATTGGATCTAGTACTTAAAGAACTCCAATTTTATTGAAATTAAATTTTTAAAAATCTCTCGTACTTAGCTATCTTTGCATTTCGCATAGCATATTGTTTTCTATATGGATGCATAACTTATTTATTTGTGAGAATTTTCTTATTTAATCCGAAATTTGTTATAAGAAGGTTTAAACTAGGAACTAGGTCACCTGCAACTCTAAAGTATTCAGATCCAGGCTATAAAAAAGGCTATGCACTTCGTTAAAAAATCCAATCTCATGGAACAACAGCAACGCTAAACGTAAGACCCAATCACGAAAACTTAAGATTGGATGTTTGTAGCTAATCGTACATAGCTACATATATTATCAACTTCAAGTTTTCACTTAACAAGAGAAAGCATAATTAATAAACTGCGTAGATTTTTACATGAAACTGAAATAGGATTAAAATCGTGTCTTGTTTCGCATGTAAGGCCATTGTGTGCGAATATTCTAAAGTCATGATCACGCAATGAACTCAAAACAAATTAAAACAATGTTAAGGCGTCGAGAATTAATCGGTAAATTGATATTTGCTAATTTAAACGATAGTGCATGCGTTTAAGTTCGCATAAATTATTAAATTCAATTTTTTTTTATTTAAATCTTTGTCCCACACTACGATTTTCTCCTGTGTCGTCCGTGCGTTTAATAAACATACGAGGTACCTAATACACATGGCACCTAGACCTGAAACAACTATATGTAAGTGAATCAGACAAAGAGTTAGTTGTTCCGTGTGAGTATCGAACCCGCTACAGGTAGCGCGGTTGCCGGTTGGCCAGCCACCGCGCCAACCGTAGAGTCAAATATCTCAATAATATAAATGCGAAATTTTTCAGTAAAAGCTCATTTTGTGTTTGTGTTTAAGTTTGACAATCATGTCAAAACGGCTGAAGGAATTGGGTTGAAGTGACAATGACCAAATTTGTATGGAGCGTGGTGCCTTTTCATTTTTTCGCGGCAGTTGTTTGAATGTGGAAAAACTGATGCAGAATAACATTACAAACAAAAAAGTACCTGGAGTCTTATATCAAAAACACAGTCCGAATCGAGCTAAATCAGTTCAAAGATGTGAAAATAGTGCTATATTATTCTTGCTATTTTATTGATGGTGACCGTAGGTACACATATTTCTTCATTTACCTACTTGTCAGAAACATTTTGTAATAAATGTTTATAAATGATTTCAAGGAATATAATAAAGCTTATTATGGAGATAAGGACTTTCTTACTTACCTATTTTGTTTTTTTTTATTGTTATAAGACCACGGAATCAGAACAGAGAGGACTATTAACTGGCCACTGTTGAAGTAAAACAAAATTGGCTTGATTGGCTAGCGTGTTCACTTTATATGTATACGGCCTATGACAGATTTTCATGATCAATTACCAAAATATCCGAATACTTTACTGAGCCCTATCATGAAATGCTATGTTTGCCAGCTGGGACGACTACCACTACTCAACCCACCACTGGTACCACAGCTGACGATCATGAAGCTTCATGACACAACTCCTAGAAGCATCCCACAAGTTATCGACTGAGAGAAAATAGCTAATAAAAATTAGTGCCTGGCAATATGGATATATTGTGGTGTGATATGGTGTTTATAGGAACACCAGGAACACCGTGCACAGGCCCGGCATATAGTCTAATCGTACATGCCCGAACAGTTGCATGATTAGTATAGCTACTTAAGAATAACTCACGTAATTATTTGACGAGGAACTTGACTAGTCTCAAGCTATGCTAGAGGCTCATATTCATGAGCAGCACTTCGCGACTCGCGACGCGGCGACTGTCGCGCTGCTACTGAGTTCCTCGTCAAATAATTACGTGAGTCAGCCGAAAAACATAATATAATAACATAATAAATAATAATTAATTATTATTTTTAAATTAAAAGACATTGTACATTTCTATGCGAACTGCCCATACCATCTGTCTACCAAACGTTGAAACTTAATCAAGTTGTTTATTTCTAACTACAGATGGTGCTAATGTTTTCATTTATATTATTTACTATTTATAATGGCAACATATTTTCTATTTTTAGCTTTTGGTGAGGGTAAGTATCGACACTAATGTCAGTTGTGATGTCAAATGTGTGTAAACAAAAACAAACGGATTTAAATCAAAAACAAAAATAAACTGCTATAAATACAAACAACACTTAAAATAATAAAGAAATAGTAACAATGATATCTGAATTTGCAAAAGAAAAAGTGTATTGGACGAGAAAAATGAATTTAAAATTAGTCAAATTCATGGAAAGCAGACCGAATATTTGGAACCCTAAACATCCAAAGTACACTTCGTTAAAATATAGAGACAAAACGTACGCAGAATTCGCTTCTTTGTACGGTAACGAGTTTACAGGACAGATTGTAAAAGATCGTTGGACGAATATACGGTCTACCTTTGCCAATTACTTGAGGAAAGTAAAAGCAAGTCAGGCTAAAGGCGATGGAGAGGTATTTATTTAAGAACCATTTAAATTATGAACAATTACCTAAGACTAAGTACTTACATAAAACAGGGTTTGTATATAACACTGATTTTTTTCAAAAAAAAATGTTTTTTTTATTTCAGCTTTACAAGGTAACCTGGCACTTATGGGATGCCTGCAAGTTTCTACTTAAAGTTAACAAAAACATTCAAGGGGATGCAAATGACTGCAGTAATAATGATTTAAAGGTAAGGACTCATAATAAACCACTTATTGCCAGCATCCTGACTATATTCACCTTTTGTATAAATCTCATGAAGAGTATTTATTTTTGTCACCTAAGACTTATTAACACTATTTTATAATCATAATCAACCTTCTTCCAGGATGAAACAGAACAAGAGGACCTATCAAGTAATTCCGATAACTCCGAAAAATCTTACAACAGTGACCCTACATGTCAAAATATAGCTAATGGTATTCTAAATGTATTCCGTGGAGTTCAAAATGATGTTTTCGGTTTAGAAAATACGAAGTATGGACAAGTAGGACAATTAGTTGCTCAAAAATTATCACAAATGAGTTCCTATGAAGCAGCACAAATGTCAAATAAAATAACAGAAATATTGTTAATGTACCATGAAGATAATCCTTTGAATCCAAATAATTTAAAATCAGAACTAAACATAAGTTGAATGTTAATGTACAGTCAACCAAGTTGTTTATACAGGTAAAAATATACTTACTAACGAATGGTTAATACTATAGTTGGGCCATTACGAATGTGTGAACTATCACATCAAAGGAATGGGACAATGCAGCACAACTTGCACAAGTGTGAGATTTGATAAAAATGATTTACGACCATTTGCATGTTTGTAATGACCCAACTATACTAACTACAATACAGAAACAGCTCTGTACTGCAGTGGCATGCACAGATTTTCGAGATAGGGTAGGCAACTGAATATTGTATGATGAACCCCTTCCCCGTCGTACAATCATAATATTCACACAAGACATAGGTACTATTAGGTACCTAAGTATACTGCATGCTCTATATTGTCTTACCTGCATATTAAATAACTGCGGGCTGTACATAATTACATATATAATATAGTGATTATCTTCGTTTTAGTATGACACTCAACTTCTGAGTTATGGACTACATCTTGACATATTTCTTGAGATGCAATATTAAACTGTGTGAAAAATAAATTCAGTTTTATGATAGACCAATATCACAGTAGACACAGTTTTATTAAAATGATTGTTACAAAATGAATATAATTTTTTTAACAATAATTACTAAAATATAAGGTAAGTACATTGAATATAATTATAATGAATTTCAATGAAATCTAAGGAATAAAGAGAAATTAAGATTTAATTATGTAAAATAAAATAATGTTTTTTTGCTTGTTATGTGAAATAAAAAGTGTTTAACATAAATAAAATTGTTTATTATGCAACTTGGATTTTATGATTATCTCCAATAGGGGAATGTAATAATAATTTACAATATACATTTAATATTTTCACAAATAGTTTTAAAGTCATCTCTTTTCCATTTCACTAATTCTGCCTCAAGATCTTTTGCTTGAACATTCTTAAAGTCTTCTTCATCTGTAAAAGACAATTAAATATGTTGTAGGTAAAAATAAATAGGTAATTCTTTTATCGACTTCAACCTCCTGTTTTTTTTTGAAGTTGGCTAGACTAAAGGAAATGGTTTAAGTACTTATATAATATTATGTTTTTATAATAACTATCGTGAGACATACTAAATTAAGTAAAAACGCGGGTTAGTCACGTGAATATACTGAGAAAAGCTCTACTAGTTTCGAACCACAGAGGCGCGCAGCTCATTGAACATCAGTGAGCTGCGCGACGTCGCCGTGTCGCCGCGACCGCGCACGCTGCTCATGAGGAAGAACCCCTCTGTGGTTCGAAACTAGTTGGGCTTTCCTCAGTATATTCACGTGAGTAACCCGCGTTTTTACTTAATTTATGTAATATTAATTAAATATAAGAGAAGGTTTTAGTATATTAATATACTTATACCTTCTCCTTTAGTGTAAAAAACATTTTTCTGAAAACCGCATCGAAATCGGTTCAGCCAATCGCGAGATAATCGCGCACTAACAGATAAATACAGATCAAACTGAGAACCTACTTTTTAAAATTATTTAAAAAGAATTACAAATCATGACAATGTATTAAATGTGCTTCTACCGAATTAAAATGTAATGTGAACTTAGCAAAAATATATTAGTGAAACTTGTGTGGTATGGTATTATATTATACTGGTATTATAATTATGTGCCACTGATTTGAACTCCTACACAGACCCTTATCAACTGCTAGAATGTCACGAGTGGCCACACCACACATCAACCCATAAATCATAAAAAAAACGTTACCGTATATCGGGAACCAGCCACTGAGTTCCAACATAGCCACATTAAAAGCTGACAACTGTTTCGCACCACAAGTATTCCTCCGTGGCCATACTATCAAATACAATTCATCGTCACCCAAACCTCTTTTGGTAAAAAGAATATTATGAGCAATAGATTTCTCCAAGAAGTATTTCAGAACTTTCCAAGCTTGTTGCAATGTCTGGCCAGAAGAGTCTTTTTTTATTTTAAAACAAAAAGCAGGTACTGTTGATTCGTCATCCAGGAGATACATTTCCCCTTTGAAGTGTTGCCATTTCTGAAAAATTTATTAATTAATTAATTTTACTATGGCAATCATTAAAACAAGTTAAAGAAGTTATAGTTTATTATACTAGCTATAAGAAGTTATAGTTTATTATACTAGCGACCCGCCCCGGCTTCGAGTGCAATATGTATGTATTATACATATAAACCTTCCTTAAGCCTGTCTATAAAAAAAACCGCATCAAAATCCGTTGTGTAGTTTTAAAAATTTAAGCATACATAGAGACAGACAGACGGCGGATAGCGACTTTGTTATATACTATGTAGTGATAGTGATTATGAGTAAAGTTCAAAGGTCATACTAACCACATTTTCTATATGCAAAGTTTTTTCTTCAACAAATATGTGATAGTGCAAATGATTGACAGATGCAAAACCGCAAATGCTATTAAATCCAATTCTTACATCTCTGTAAAATAAAAATAAAATAATTTATTCCTCCATAAAAAAAAATAAAGCTACTATAAGGTTCAACTAAGGGATCAAACTTATTGAGAATACACCAAGCACAATAAAGTTTGAACTTAAGATGAGTACTAACAAAAGTGAAATGTTTATAATTTCTTTTAATGGGTTGAAGTTTGACCACTGTCTCGCATGTTGGTAAGCGATGATGCGGCCTAAATAGAGCATGTCTGCCCAAAATATACAGAAATCTTTAATTAACATAAGTCAATAAATCATAAGGGTATTCATTAGTTTCTGTACTTGCCTACACTCACCGATCTTCAACTTGGAACATGACCTGTACAACTATGTTCAAACTGTCAGGAGTTACCACCTGAGGTAGGCATCTGCTTACAGATGGGCACAGCAACGAATGATACCTGGATATAGGACTCACATTCACCAATACAGTGTGTATGTCTCCATCTGAAAATATGATTGTGATTGGTTTTTATTAGTAAAGTGTGGGAGAGCCAGAATGGGCCGGCTCGACCGGAGTGATACCACAGCCTCACAGAAAACCGACGTGAAGCAACGCTTGCGTTGTGTTTCGTCGTGTGAGTGTGGTTACCGGAGGTCCAGGTGTCCATGGGCGACGCCAATTGCTTACCATCAGGTGATTCGTCTGCTCGTTTACCGGCTTATACCATAAAAAAAAAGTGTTCTAGCGTGACCATTGGCCATTGTCACCTATGGCTAGAAAATTGTATTGCTTAGTTATTTTATGTTTAAGTTTAAGGGCTAGTTAAACTTATAAACAGTTTAGCTACTTTATTTTCGTAGTTATGTACTGAATTTTGTATTCTATAGTAGGGCTCACGATTTTCTGATAGAAAAAAGCCATAGTTATAAAGATAAAAAAATATCATTGTAATGTTAACTGCCTAGTCCCCAAGCGGTCATCGGTGACCACTCTCACTTCCTTCATTTTAGCCTAATATAATTACATAACAAATTATGTACATATACTAAACTAGCTCCTTCCGCATCTTTACACCACTACTTGCTTGAGCCTATAGCCTTCCTCGATAAATTAACTACTGAACACAAAAATAATGATTCTATTCAAACCAGTAGGACCTGAGATTAGTGTGTTCAAGCATACAAATACTCTTTAGCTTTATACATAACATAACATAACATCAAGCCCGTTATCCCCGAAGGAGTAGGCAGAGGTGCACATAACGGCACTTGACGCCACTGTACAATGTAACACCAACTTCTCACTATTTATGTTATGACTTATAAGTCCCATGTAATAGGAGGTGAGCCTATTGCCACATACTTACCAGGGACAATTCCAGACAGTGCTACTACTGAGAATTTAAAAAAATCTCAGTAAACATTGTATATCCTATATCATACTTTTTTAAAAAAGAGTAACAAATGGAGTTTCTTGCTCGTTCTTCTGCATTCGAATCTACATTTTGGAATGAGCACCTAGCTTCACCTAGCTTCACTGACGGACTGACCGACAGACTATCATTTATATTGAATTTGTTGACATTCCAATAGTACCAAATTATGGTTTAATTGAAATTAATGCTTTGACTTTGACTTTGATCCCTTGCCTGGCTGCACTTGCGACCACTCGGCCAATAAGGCAGTTCAGCTTTATATATTAGCATAATATAGATTATAATTAAACTGTCAAACACCAAGCGGTCACCGGTGACCGCAACCTATTGTTCTATAATTGTGTCTATAATTACCGGTACTCGACGAGTTAAAATGCTTTTTTAAAATTTTCAACAAATTCCACTATTAATGCAATATCCAAGATGTGCATAATATATTTTAATTTAAGTATTACGAAGGGTTTTGAAACCTTTCCACATCAGCTATAGACTGTACCTCTGCCTTCCAAAGAAAATAGTATTTCTTTTGAAGAAACTTTGTTGAAATGAAACTTTTTTTCGTCAAATGGTTGACTAATACTGGTCATTTCTTCTGGAGTTCGTCTTTTAGAACGCCGGTCTGGGTTTAACTGAAAAAAAAAAATTAATAAGTACCACAGATACGCAGTTTATTGAGAGATGGAAATAATAAAATCATTATTTAAATCATCACCTGTAGGAAATATTTTCCATCAACAATCCTTTCTTCTACATCATCAATTTTATATCGGAATATATCTGTTTCTTTGTGAATTTCATCCCATTTTGTTTTCAATAGACTCGTAAAATTAGCCAAATTATTTAATTTGTACATGTTGCGCTTCGTTTGGATTGGTGTTTTGTATTTTAAAAACTTTAGACTGGTATGTTTATTTTGATTATAATAACCTCAACATTTTCTGCTAGATGACAGCTGACCAGAGGGACGACACAGACCAAAATTTTCATTCGTTATCGTTTGTTGTGACGTCGTCGTCACTCGTCGGCTATCAGTCTTTTGGCACATTATCCCCAGCACGAAGCAAAACAAGTTCTTTTCTATTTTTTGTCGATCCGTCGAGGTTACGATTGCCGTATTACCACCATTTAAGTTTTAATCATTTCTACTCGGAAGAAGACAACATAAGAATAAAAAAGAGGATGATGCCTAAATAACTCAAAATCGTACAAAAAGGCAGATTAGGTTCAGAGTACAAGAGCAAGTACCTCATAGGCACCCCTAACTTTTCTTGATGCCACCGGTATTTTATGGGCATGCACGTCTTGCGACGCCCCTTTATAACCTGGCGTCCTAAACACTTGCCTAGTTTGTAAGTCATTCGGACTCGTAGTAGGAGGTACCTACGCTACGCCACGTCTAGATTAATATATGAATTGAAATTAATTTATTTATATACAAGGTGTCTACTTACACACAAGAATGTTAGTCTCAATTGACCTCTTGCACCCTCCCGTTTGGCCTTGTCAGCAGTTTATTATTCAATTGCAACTGTCAACAAGGAATAAAGGCAGGACGCAAATAAATAAACTAGATGTACAGCATACAGAAATATCCATAAGTATCTACTACTATTCTTACATGTACACGTAAATACCCATTGGTAGTTGAAGCAAATTGATGACTGATTGATGACATGTCGCGAGATTGATCTTCACACGTCGAAACGAAATTTTGTATACCTACTTCATAAATGGCCGTTTGTTTATAAACACATCCATGACACAAGAGAAAATCCCTGAGTGGGGCGACGTTAAAAAAAGTAAATAGATAATTATGTAGGTACAAACCTACTCCCTTT